TGTTTTTTTTTTTTTTTTTTTTTTTTGTAGGATCTTGAAGTATTATTCGAAGGGTTGGATTATGAGAGCGGGTTCAAGTTTGAGAAAGATGTAACGTACGTGAAATTTCTAAATAGGGTTAGAAGTGGAGAGCTGAAGCTTCAATCCCAGGGACTATGGAACGTTCCTCATCCATGGCTAAATCTCTTTGTCCCGAAATCTCGTATCTTGGATTTTGATGCAGGTGTCTTCAAAGACATAGTTTTACGACGAAATATAACCAAAGGACCTGTACTCATCTACCCAATGAACCACTCCAAGTAAGCTTGTAGAATAACGTTTTCTATACCTAACGTATATCGATTGATCGTAATTAATATTATGAATTGGTACGATAAAAATGCAGGTGGGACAGTAGAAATTCGACGGTTATACCCAACGAAGAGGTGTTTTACACGATAGGATTTTTGCATTCAAGTGGGTTTGATGACTGGAAATCGTTTGACCGACAAAACGATGAGATATTAGAATTTTGTGAGAAAAGTGGAATTGAAATCAAACAATATCTTCCGAATCACAAGACACAAAGACAATGGATCGACCATTTTGGTTCCAAATGGACAAATTTTCGAGACATGAAAATGAAGTTCGACCCTAAATATATTCTCTCTCCCGGACAGAGAATTTTCAATGTCTGATGTTATGTTTTTCCCCTTGCAGTGTAAGAAAACAAATACTATATATATAGGTAGGAGGCAGTAATTAGCTTTTTAACTAATATTTTTTACCACGAAAGATGTTGAATTTAACTTAGAAAAGCTGGTAGTTTCTTGTCAAATCATTAAAGATTTTAATTTACAGTAACGTTTTGAATGTGAGTAAATATAATTATTATATTTATATACAAAAGTAATAAAATTGATGGGTAAATGTAAGTAAATAAAAAAATTAAAGGAGAAAATAAGTGTACAAATTATTTAAAAAATAATAATTTTATTGAAATGCAGATTTGCCGACACACCCGAGACCCGAGAGACATATTATTTGGAATTTTGCATCCATGAAATCAAACATTTTATCTTTTTTAATTTTTTTTAGCAATAATTTATATATTTATCAATTGTTTTTTATTTTTAATATTTAAATAATTAATTAATAATATTTTATTAAAAATGTAAAATCATGGCCCTATTGTGGGCTCCCAATTACTGGAAAAGCAAGAACTAAAGGCCCATGCCCTAATAGAGACAGGCTAACTGATTCGTTGGGCCTCACGACTTGGCCCAATAACTTTCGATAACCGAAGTCGTGACATCGCCCGGGGCTTACTTCCAAAGAAGAAACAAATTATTTAGTGCTTCATTTCGATATTGATTGTGAAATTGCGTTGCTGCGTCAGAAGAAGGATAGCTATACTGATTCTGTATACTCTAAAAACACTCTCGGTACAATATTGACGATCTTACAAGAATATGTGGAGCTCGACATGTCTGGAAGCACAGGAGAACGTTCTTTTGCTGATATTATCACAAATATACCTTCTCTATTCATTGCAAGTTGGTTATTCGTCAGCACGGGTTTAGCTTACGATGTTGTTGGAAGCCCTCGTCCAAATGAGTATTTTACAGAGAGCTGACAAGAAATTCCATTAATAACCGACCATTTTGATTCTTTAGAACAACTTGATGAATTTAGTAGATCTTTTTAGGAGGAACAAATGACTATGGATAAAACTTATCCTATTTTTATAGTGCGATGGTTGGCTGTCCACGGACTAAATGTACTAACTGTAAAAAATATTTAAAAATGGGTATTAATGAAACTTTCGAAAACTCAAGGTATTTTTTTTAACAATTTTGAAAGCTCGAGATTATTTTCGAAACGAAGTATTCACAGCTCGAGAATATTATTGAAAATTTGAAAATTTAGTGAGAACGGGAAGAATGGTAATGCATGGACCCTCGAATTCAAATCCTCGCCCATGTTGACTTTGACCATCTCGACCATTTTCTTTTATAATTTATTAAATAAATATATATATATTTTTTACTTTTCTGTCCCTAAAAAGGCTTATTGTCAAATTTGAAGTTGATATTAATTGGAAAACCCTTTCCCTTTTCCTCCACCTTCCAACCCTTTTCTTCTCCTTTCTGTGTATTATGGATACTGTATTTTCTCTGGACGAGGCACCCAGAGCCACCTTCCTTCGAGCCATTATGCAATCTTTTCACCCCACTTACATTTGCCTTTGGTCTTATTTACCCCATCCTTCTCAGTAATTAACCACTTACCCTTCATACTCTCAGTAAAAACACACAATTTTCTTCTCATTTTTTGGATTAATTTCTGAATTTTTTGATAGCTGTTTGTTGAATCTTGATGCGTTGTTCCGGGAGGATGATGCGAACCAACCCAGCAGTAGCTTGGGCAGCTTTGAACGGAGGCTTTTTGATGAGTACAAGCAATTGGTATTCAACGTGGAAAACAAGTAGGCAACCCTTTTCTTTTGTTCTTCTCGTAATGGATGTCAGACGAACACGACTCTCCACAATGGTACGATATTATCCATTCTGAGCATAAGGTCTCACTCCGATGGAGAGAGTATTATTTGATTATAAACCCATGATCATTCTCTAAATTACCCGACTTTCATCATCCGACACCTCCCCTCGAACAAAGTATGCCTCCCCTTAAAAGAAAAGAAGTCGAGTCTCGATTAAGGGGAGACGTACTTTGTTCGAGGGGAGGTGTTGGATGATGAAAGTCCCACATCGGCTAATTTAGGGAATGATCATGGGTTTATATTCAAGGAATACTCTCTTTATTGGTACGACAAAGCCACGAAAGCTTATACTCAAAGTGCACAATATCATACCATTGTGAAGAGTCGTGTTTGTCTAACAATGGAACCCTATGTTTTGTTGTTTGTTGATGTTAATGTAATCTATGTTTTGTTGTTTGTTGATGTTAATGTAATCTATGTTTTGTTGTTTGTTGATGTTAATGTAATCTATGTTTTGTTGTTTGTTGATGTTAATGTAATTATTATGAACAGCCTTGTTCCTGGCCATGCTTTCAACAACAACATTTTGTTTTTAGAGCTTCACCAATCTTTGCTTCACACCCATTCCTCTTCCCAAATTCAGTCCCATTTTTATGCCGTAAGTGTATTTCTTTTTCATGTTCGAGAAAATTAAGGATATAAATTTATGTTTCTTTCTTCTTGGTCGCAGGCAGCTGGGATCCAGGTAGGTTGGGACGAACTTTCTGCTAAGAATCAAGACTCTTCACAATGATATGATATTGTTCATTTTCAGCATAAACTCTGATCATTTTAACTCCCAAAAATAAATCTTCGAAATTGACTTGAGGTGTTTTTCTTGTTGATTAATTATTAACATCAGAGCGTAGTTTTCATGGGCTGCAGCAATGGAGAAATCGAACTTGGATTCTCCGAGGTAATTCAACCGGCTTATACTTTTAAATTTGTTACAATTTAATTTTTTAAATATTTGAATAATTTTCAGGTTAATATGGTAGAGAAGATGAGAGCAACAAGTCCATTTACCTCAATGGCTGTTCTTAAAAACCCTCCTCCCCCCACTTCGTGGTCGTCGTCGTCCACGAACTTCCTTCGTCGTCGACCCGGGTCAGCTCAATTGCTTCACATGATAGCGGAGCGGAGAAGAAGAGAGAAGCTTAATGGAAGCTTCCAAGCTTTGAGATCCCTTCTTCACCCCGGAACTAAGGTTAAATATAATCAATTTTGCATGCATTTTTATTATTATTATTATTATTATCATTATTATTGTTATTATTATTTTGTTAATGAATTTACGTACGTAGAAAGATAAATTATCGGTACTAGCAACCACAAGAGAATACTTAACCAAATTGAGAGAGCAAGTTTCAGAGCTCAGCCATAAAAACCAGATGCTTCTAGAAGCTCAGTCTCAAGGGGAAGAAACTGCCAAATCATTCGTTAACGAACGCTTCACCGTTAGGGTTTCCCACGCGCCGCCGTCTATTAATGGAACGGAAATTATAGACTTGGAAATTACGGTTAGAGGCGAAGGATCGTTAATGGCGGATATTGTAATTCGCGTGCTGGAATTCTTGAAGAATGCTGTGAATGTGGGGGTAATTTTGTCATTTCACAGCATTGAGCAGATTTCTCCTTCTTCTCTTGTTAGCCGCCTCCGTTTCAGATTCAGCCTTCAGGTTTGCTTCCTCTCTCTCGTTTTTAGGGTTTTGTTTAAATTATTTTTATTTATTTATTTTGTCTGTGAATAGGATGGCGAATGGGACGAGTCGGGTTTCCTGGAAGCAGTGAGAAGAATTGTGTCCGACTTGGCGCCCACGTACAACGAAAAACAACCATAACAGCCCAATAATATTTTGCCACGTGTAAACGCTATTTTTCTCCAACTTCAACCTTGACCGTCGATTTTGCTGTGACCACATATTTTGTACCTTATACTATAGGTTTCAAACCTTGGAATTTATTATTCATTTCAAAATCATTAATTATTACTTATCGGATTATTCTTTAAATTTTTAAAATGACGAACACGACTCTCCACACTAGTATGATATTGTTCGCATAATAATATTATTTTAAATTATTTTAAGACTATTATTTTTAAAGAATTAGAAAAAAAAAAACAATGTTTCTCCAAATCCTTTCCTAGTTCAAATACAATTCATCTTCATGAATTGGTGGGTCCCAACCAACTCCTTTAGAGGCAATCAGGAATTGGAAATTGGTATTTGAATTCCTTGATTGTATGAGGACATGTGGGTCACAGGTATTGGTACATCAGATGGGCTTGATACCGAGAATGGGCCGGAGCTGTTAATTTGGGCTTTGAATTGTTGAATTGTAAAAGCCCACCTTAGGTGATTTAATTTTGAATCGTTGAAATTGTATTTTCGTTGGGCGTTCCATATAAAAGGAAATAAATGGATGGAGTGCTAGGTCTCGAACAAGTGTGCGAGGGTATTTAGAAGGTCGGGCACGTTGAGGCGGCCCCTTTCACTTCTTTTTCCTCGCTCCCTTGTATTCAATCTAGGGTTTTAGACTACCAACTTCCCCCCTCCCTTCGCTCACAATCTCTTTGCTGTATTCTCAATGAGCAACAACAAGGATAACTTCAACGTCTCCGATCTCGGTTCTGGTAATCTTATTTCTCCTCTTCTCCTTTTCGATTTACTTCCTCTGTTTGTCATCATATCCATTTCTCCTTTTTCACATACTGATTTCGAGGGTTTTTGGTTTTTAATTCTGCAGCTCTCAATGAGGAGGATCGAGCAGGCCTCGTCAATGCTCTCAAGGTACTAAAATTGTTTTTTCTATTCCTTTTGGGTCAAACTATAGTGGGCAATGATATTAGAATCAGGAATATTCTCTTATGTTCTTTTTGCAGTGTTTATTTTGAATAGAGTGTAAAGTTTTGAATAATACTGTGTTTGATTTCTCTACCGCATTTTAATGGTGCTATAGCAATGTTTAGATGGAATTTTAAGGGGTTTCGGTTTAGCGTTGGTTGATTTTACTTCGGGTTTTGATGATTTGCAGAATAAGATTCAGAGCCTCGCTGGACAGCACTCTGATATCCTCGAGAACTTGTCTCCTGTTGTTCGTAAGCGCGTCGAGGATCTAAGGGAGATCCAGGCAAGTATAATTTATCTGGTTCTTTAGTTATAACGACTTTTTGGTTTCTTGCTTCTGCTCTTTTTTGTAATTGCTTCATATCGCCTTGGAATAATTTACATGTCATCCCGTTCAACAGAGCCAACATGACGAATTAGAGGCTAAATTTTTTGAGGAAAGGTTGGCGCTCGAGGCCAAATACCAGAAATTGTATCAGCCACTATACTCTCAGGTGTGAATTTTGTCTACTAGAGGTTGTATTAGTGCATATTTTGTTTAGTTGTTGATTAGTTCTTATGTCTCTGCAGCGGTACGATATTGTAAATGGTGTTGTTGAAGCTGAAGGAGCTGGAAAGGAATCTGCTGCTGGACAAGACGAGGACAAAGATGCAGCAGGTAATTCAATTCTAAACCTTCATTTGAGACATTGTTTTTCTCTGTTTGATTTAAACCACCTAGGTATATTTTAGCTCCTTTTTTTGTTTGCAGAGAAAGGAGTGCCCGACTTTTGGCTTAATGCAATGAAGAACAATGAAGTATTAGCTGAGGAGGTTTGTGTTTTCTGTTCTTTATTGTTTTCCTGTGTTTGTAGAATCATCTAACCAACTAGTTGTGACTCTATCTACCTGAATTCTGCTAATTTTATTTTAGGTTACCGAGCGTGATGAAGGAGCTCTCAAATATTTGAAAGATATCAAGTGGTGTAGAATAGACAATCCCAAAGGATTCAAGCTTGAGTTCTTTTTCGACACCAATCCCTTCTTTAAAAATTCTGTCTTGACAAAGACATATCACATGATTGACGAAGATGAGCCAATTCTTGAGAAAGCAATTGGGTAATTTCTTTTTGCCTCATCAGTATTTTGTATGCTAATCTAAAGACTGATTTCTTTTGCTTTGTGAATCTCATCTTCATTGTATTTGCACTGAATATGATTCTCTGTTGGCAGAACGGAGATTGAATGGTATCCAGGAAAATGTCTGACCCAGAAGCTACTGAAGAAGAAGCCTAAGAAGGGATCGAAAAATGCCAAGCCAATCACGAAGACTGAAAATTGTGAAAGTTTCTTTAACTTTTTCAGTCCACCTCAAGTGCCTGATGACGATGAAGATATTGATGAGGACACTGTATGTTTAATATCAATTCGTTGTAAAAATCAATAAAATGCTCATCTATTTCTCTGCTCTTAATTTTAGTACTTCTTTTGTCAGGCTGAGGAGCTTCAAAATCAAATGGAGCAAGATTATGATATCGGGTGAGCTATATGTCAATTTTCTGCTATGTGTTTACCCATCTATATTTTCTGAAATAAAGCTGTCTCAAATATGAGACTTAGTTGTTATTTGAATGGATGTGAAGAGTTTTGAACGTATTTTGATACCTTTATATTCATTTATTCTCTGCCTAGGTCAACCATTCGAGACAAGATTATCCCGCATGCTGTCTCATGGTTTACAGGGGAAGCTATTCAAGATGAGGAATTTGAAGACATGGATAATGATGATGACGATGAGGAGGATAATGATGATGATGAGGATGAGGATGAGGACGACGAGGATGAAGATGATGACGACGACGAAGATGAGGATGAAGATGAAGGAAAATCCAGGAAAAAGGTATGCCACTTCTTTTAGTTCATTTTGTTGTATACCCTTTTGTTTTAGCAGTTGGAATTGACAAAATTGTAACACTTATGATTGTATTCTTCGTGTTGTGGTGGCAGCAGTTGTCAGCTGGGAACAAGGTACACTTCCATTCCATTCCTCAGTCCAACCAATCTCTTTCCTTGAACAAAGTTGTGTTTGAATGTGCCTTTCTTTATCTCACATATTGTTTGTTTGAAATCTCCAGAAGGGTGGAAGAGGAGGAGCAGCAGCAGCTGGGGATGGTCCGCAGGGGGAGAGGCCTCCAGAATGCAAGCAGCAGTAGGAATGAAATCGATAACGAGTCGGTGAGACTGTCTATGTGTTATGAGAGTCCGCTGTACGAGTAATTTTTGGGTGGAAAAGAGAGCGAGAATGGCCGCCGGGGGGAGGGTATGGGGGGATCGGGTTGCAGTTTTTATATGGTTCTTTATTGTCTATGATGATTAATACTTTGGTAAGCACTGAAAGGGGATTTAGGAGGAGAGTCCATTCCCTTTCCTTCTTCTTTTTCTTTTTTATTAAAAAAAAAAAAAAAAAAAAAAAAAAAAAAAACCAATTTGTGGCTTGTGAAGGGGATGGGGTTTATTTTTTTCTTGCTCTTCCGCGTCTAGTCTGTTGGGGGGAAGTTGGGATTAGTTTTTATGTGAAATGGTATTTATTGAACCTGTTTTTACTCTATAAGATGTTGCCTTTTCTTTATATATTCCATATCTATCTTTTATTTTAGCCTTTTTCTTTGCCTTTTCTGTGATCATAATTTTAGTTTCAATTCATAAATGATCAAGTTACTTAATTTAGTCTTGGTTGTACCACAACATCAAAGTGAACACGACTCTCTACAATGGTATGAAACTATTTTTTTTTTTTAATAAAACATAATAAAATTAAATAATTGAGAGATAAATCTAAATTTTGGATTTTAGTTTGAGATTTTATAAAAAAACAAGAAATTTGAAACAAACAAATAAATAAATAAAACTTAATTATAATTATAAATCTAGATTTCATATTTGAATTTCCCTATAATTTACGCCTACAAAGTCGAAACTAAGCCCACTCATTTTCATGGGCCGGGTTGAGCCCACTCATTTTCAGGAGCGAGGCTGGAGGTCTAGTGGAGCGAAAACCGCCTTATAAATTTATTATTACTCTCTGTAGCCCGCTTTCCTTGTTTATTCAATTTACCTCTCCGCCATTTTTAATTCCACCAGGTTTAATGGCGGCCTCTCCTCATCACCACCAGGTTTCGTTCACTTGCACTTCGCTGAACTTCTCAGCTTCCTCGTAGAATTGAGGTTTATATACAGTAGGAATCCGTTATTTGGAAGTGGTAGGTCTGAGTATTCATGGAGGACGCTCGTATTGAAGCCCCGAAGTTAGTGGAATCAAAATTAATGTTCCCGCCTCACCGTCGATCACATCTAAAGAGCGACACTTATCGGACTCTGGTCCGAATCTTTTCGCCCTTCTGCGGCAGCGACGATGTCTCTTTGGCAACGGAATTTGATCCACAACAACTGAGACATGGTATCATCGAAAATCTCTTTCAATTTATTCCGTTAGTTTTTGTGGACACATGTAAGTGAGGACTAAATCCAATTCAAACAACATCGTATCGTGGAAGTTTCAAGAGCAAAAATGGTCATTCATTATAACTTGATCAAACGCACGTTTTCTTTCTAATTGTTTTCATGGTTTAACTGTAATGGTCCTAGTGCTAGTTTCCAAATGGTTAGGTTTTGTATTGTTTGGAGATATCTTCCGAGTTTAAGTCCATGCCTTACTTCAAGCAATACTTTAAATTCTTGTTGTCTCTTCAGGGTTGAACACAGGATGAAGGTCTAACATTGTGTTATTTATTTATTTATATTAAAAAATTGAGTGACTGTGATGGCAACTGTGTCGTTTCCGTGGTCTTTAACTTTGTAGCATCATTTTTTCTACCTGGCCTTCAAGCATGAAAACTATGTTGAAGAAATGGGTTTTAAAATTTGATACAGGAATAGAATATATGTTAAAGATGTCACGACTCTCATTTATTTGAAATGCCAATCAAATCTATCCAGCTTGAAATGTTGATTGCATCGTGATTTTTTTTTTTAATAACTTTTTGTGACTTTCATAATTCTGTCTGTCGAGCAGCTTATACCAGCCACTTAAAGCAATCAACTATAGAATCATCAGGCCAGCTGGTCGATGAAGATTTTGTAAGACCAGAAATTGGAGATTCAGCTATGGAAAAGGTGACAGTGGTTGAAGATGGCATGGGGATGGATAGTCTTGTAGATGGATGTTTTCATGAATCTGAAGTGAAGATGAATGTAATAAAAGATATGTCAATAGTGGAAAGAAACAACAATGGGAGTGCTGAAAGGGAACTTCAGGGGGCTAGTTCTCAAGAGAACCATTGTGTTCACGAGGAAAGTCATAGAGACAAGTTAGAGGCAGCAAATATGGTGGAAGGAAATAAGGTGCTTATTGATGACAACAGTAGTAATAAGACGAGGTCTTCGGATCAGACCAATTGTGGAAATGATCAAATATCACCTAAAAAGTTCACGGAAGAAATTGTTGAACATCAACAAGTCATGGCTGAACAAGATGCTGTGAACAGAGTCCAGAATCTTTCTATGACAATATTCTCGTCAGAAGGCGACAACATTGGGGAGGCTTCTAAACATAAGGACAATCAAGAAAACATACTTCCGATTGTAGATAAGGCCATGTACCAATTGACTGAAACACAACCAAAAGAATCAAAACCTGAGGGCATAGTTTGCGAGCCTTATTTAGAGATGGAGAAATCTCATGTTTCTAGTTTTGAGGTCATGGAGGTGGAAGATGGTGAACAATGTAGTGAAAAGGTTTGTGGGGTAGATCTCTCATGTTTGGATGAAGAGATGCCTTTCTGGGCTAATGAATTGAGTAAGAATAGTGAAGATTGGGCTGTTTCAATGGAGGTTGACACCTCCGAAGTAGGGCACAAAATAGTGTCTGAAGATATACAGATGGAGAAATGTTTGATTGAAAATGAAGACATTGAGGAGGGTGAAATTTGTGGTGACTCGACACATGAAATTTCAGAAGATCCAGCTGTATTAGATGAGAAGCATTCCTCGATTCAAGCTAATGGAGAAGCAAAGAAGCCGGATTCCTTATTCTCCGACATAGTCGAGAATGCAACTCATGAGAATAAAGAAGAATCCAAACAAAAGAAGAGTAACTTGGATGCTTGTAAACATGGTAGTATGGATTCTGTAAAAATGGTGACAACTATAATAGAATATCAAAATGATTTTATGTTAGAGGAAGCAGGATATACAGTAAAGGATAGTAGACCCAATAGGGATGCAGATTCTTTTACTGCACGCATTAGTAATCAAGTCCCTCATGGCCAAGTTCCAAGTGAATGTGCCACTGGACGGAAAGAAATTGCATCGACGGAAAAGGTATTGTTATATGATTATTTCTAGTTAACTTTGTTGCATTAACTTCTACGTTCTTTCTGATAGTATCGTGTTCACAGTATTCGAACAAATTAACTACTGATGACATTATCTAATCCATAGTATCAACAATTTAAGAGGGAAGTTTTTGTCATAACTATTCTGGTTTGAGCTTTGTAACATGCATGTGGTAGTACTTTGTATACACAAGTTTACGTCTTGCTTTCTTGCAGTTCACGAATCACAAGTTCTTATTGGATGGAAAATATTCCTTTCCTTGTTTCGTAATCTGATCAATTGGCTATAGTCGTTCTGTGCCACCGTGTATGATGTGGATTTGGTTAATTGTGATGAATTATAAAAAAAAAATTACTTGACTTTTTTGGTCTAAAAAAGAAAAAGTTCTATTGGCAGGAAACTGGAGCTTGCAATAAGAAAAAACGTGGTTCATGTACAGAAGGGAGAAAAGAAAGGAAAAAGGTATTACCACTTCTTTCTATATTCTTGAGTTATCTAATGTGTGTTCATATTAGTATTTTTCTTTCTAACTCGCTATGACAATTACATTCTCAAGATTCAGAAAAGAAAGAAGCGGGCAGAGAAGAACAGAAAACTTGGTGTCAAAAGGTTGAAGCTACTTCCAGTAACAGTGCCTAAACCTGTGGTATACTGTCGTCATTATATCAAGGGGAGGTGTCATGAGGTTGTATACTTAATCCTGTAATTTATTTATTTATAAGTGGTAAATTTGTGGGCATACTTCAATTAGCATTTGCTTTTATTTTGCAGGGTGACAAGTGTAAATTTTCTCATGATACAACTCCTGCGACAAAATCCGTAGTACGTTACTGGTTCTTCACTAATGTTTGTCGCCTTAGTTCATCTAATCAATTCTTTCACAAATTGATTTTGCCTAATGTTGGAATGGTTTAGTTTTACTGCCAATTTGGCTTTCAGCTTGCTCGTTATGTGATTATAACTTTGTCCATTTCCGAATTATAAATATATCGTGCTTTAGTTTTTTTGGGGAAATCGGTAGTGACTACTTATTAATCGTATTGATCTTGCAGCCATGTAGTTATTTCGCACGTCATTCGTGTATGAAAGGCGATGACTGTCCATTTGATCATCAGCTGTTCAAGTATCCTTGTAGCAATTTTGTTTCAAAAGGTTCATGCCCTAGAGGTGATACTTGTATGTTTTCACACAAGGTATACTTTCTTGCATTCTGAATTGCAATTCCCTTTGATTTTCAGTTCAATTAGTCTAGGTGCACTATGGCCTGTTAATACTCCAATAATTTGTTTCAGATTTTGCCACAAGAACAGTCTAATATGCAAAATTTGAAAACCCAATCGAAACCACCAGTAATACCGGATAGTTTTGACTCCCAAAGGAAATCAAATATCAGTGGTGGCACCAAGCAAAAGCCTGTTACTGTTACTGGACCCAGCTACGCTGGAGCTTCTTGCAATAGAACTCCACAGGGAGAATCTTTGCTGAAAAAAACAACAGGATCACTGCCTACTGGAATCAGTTTTCTCTCTTTTGGGAAGTCCCCTGACCATTCTTCGCAGGTGAAGAACGATGATGTGGAACGTAGGAATTCGTTAACCCAAAGTGGGTTGTGTTCGGTTGAAAATTCTAGCGAAATCTCGAGGAACATTCAGCCACAAAGAGCACCAGAGGGGATAAGTATTCTGTCGTTTGGTAGAACTTCACTCAAGTCTAACAGTGAGAACTTAGCTACACCTTCGAGCTACAATGCTGCCACTATTACATCCGGTAATCAGACTCCATCTTCTTCGAAAACTGGTCACGATCCCAGTGAACTGGCGAAGAAAGTACAAACGACAACGTCCAAACCGACGAACTTCTTTTCTCCGATGAAGGAAAGCATGTATGTTAAGCCTGAAGGCTTAAGTACAATATTCTCGAGGCTTCCAGGTACTTCGATGACAACAGGTCAATATTCTGATAGCTCAGCTTCTAGTATGAATAAAGGAACTCCAAACTCCGCTCAGAAGGCTCTACTGTCAACATTGGCATTTGCTGCAAAATATGAGTCGATGAATAAAGGAAAATCAAGCGCTTCTGCTGGAAGTAACGATGGTAACAAGGAAGATAGGAATGAGAAGATTAGTGGAAGTCTGAAGAATGATCAAGCCAAAGCTTCAAAACTTTTGGATTTCTTATTAGGCGTTGGATCTAAATCTAATCTGAAATGAGAGTGGTTGTAGATTGCTGCTACTAACCCAGCTGAGCACTTGGAAAATGGGATCAATCAGCTAAATCAGGGATCATCATCCAGTGGGGTCTCCTTGGTTTGATGAAATTATATCACACCTGTATAAAGAGAATCCATTCTGTCGCCTTGCTTTCTTTCTCGGTGTCGCCTTCATGGTTACGAAATCTGATTAATACCGAATCGGGTATGAACATGCTGGGACTGAGGAAGACATAATGCTGCTGATCAGAAGCTTGCATTGTGTTATCCCATCACAAGCCTATGTTCAATGAGGAGCTGAAAGCGTCATGATAAGGTTGATGAGTTTATAAATTGTTTTACTTAATTTTACCTATTTTGAAGTTGGGGTCTGCTTAGATCTTCTTGCGTTCTTCAGGAAGGAATTGTGATCCAATTGAAGGACGATTCTTGATTCTTGAATCCAGCCTAAAGAACTTGGTTAGGTTAGTCCTTTGAATTTAAACATCTTATAGTCTATAGAGATCAAAATAGTATTTAAATTGAATTTTATTTATATATTCCAATTTTGAAGTACATACTTGTGGTGGTTGAGGATAAATGGTATCTTTTCCCCACGGGCAGGAGGACAGGAGACGGCCATCTCAAGGCACAGCACGACCTACGGGCGAAACCGGCTATTTGAACCTATACCAAAGGTTTAGAAGACTTCTGTCCTGTCTATTAGAAGACTTCTGTCCTATCATTAGACAATGGACGCTTTTGGAAGTTTCAAGAAGGAATAAGTTGATTAGTCCAAAACGGCCGGCCGGTGAGCTGTTCTTCTGTACTCTTAAATTCATTTAAGAAAATTAATTTTATCTATTTGTTTGGGAATATATATATATATATATGACATTAATTTTAGGAATAAGATATATATATATATATATTCCCTCTCGTCACCATGATGACTGCTGGGGGGTTTGTTTTGGGATGCACATAGGAAATGATTACAGCGGTCGAAGAAGAAATGAAGACTGATAAATTAAATAATTTTTTAATTTTTTAATGAAAAAAAACTATGGAGAATCGCTTATATTTTGCGTGAGGATTACGCGCCAATGTGGTAAATGAGGTCGCCTTTTACCCGCCGACTATCTATATATGCCAAGTCACGCGTTTTCACGCCCACGTTCTTTTCACGGCGCAATTCCAGCAATTTAATCATTGTATTTAATTACCTTTTTTTAATCTTTTTTTTTAATATAATTTAATACGATTTTACTTTTATGCCATTATAGTTCATATTAAATTATACAAATTTTCTCTGGAAATGTGATTTCTATATTTTAATATTTAAAAACATCAAGTTATGTTTATATTTTAATTATTTTTAATCCTACATTTTAACCAATAGTAATTCTTTTTTATTAGTTGATTTATTTTATTTTATTTTTTGTTAGGTAAGGGAAGAATACATTATTTATAAAAACGAACTTGGAAGTCCACCAACCGTCAATTAAAAGATAAAAATATGAAAAAGAAAAGACTTCAAAAAAAAAAAAAAATCAAAATAATCAATGGACGGTACCGACTTTTTTAATTTATTGTTTTATTTAATTATTTAATTGTTTGAATATACTCAGAAATTGGAAGAGGGGGAAAAATTGGAAAAAGGGGGAATAGTCAGTTTTATTAAATTTATTGTGGGTTTCGAGTAAAACCTAACTTTTAACCCAACTGAGCCTTGGAGTGACCAAAAGGAATGATAACCAAAATTGTGCCCTAGATCTCTAATTGCATTTTCTTTGCCTTCCTTTCTTAGTCGATGAACCTCCCATTCTCTCCGCGTGGAGATGGCGGTGAATTTTGAATTCTTCGCCCTCCACACGCTCCATTCCTCTCCTCTCTTTCCATGTTGAACTTTTCGTAATCCTCTTCCATACTTACGTTTCTCTTTATTCTTTTTGGTTGCCGGATGGAACCTCGCGTCGGTAATAAGTTTCGGCTTGGCCGGAAGATCGGCAGTGGCTCCTTCGGGGAGATCTATCTCGGTTTGTGTTTCTCCTTCAATTTTCGGCATTCGAAGTTGTGTAGACTTAACGTTTGAATTCTTTGTGCAGGTACTAATATACAGACAAATGAAGAGGTTGCAATTAAACTCGTAAGTGTTCCGATCTCAATTCAACACTGCGATTGTAATTCCGCATAGTCTGCTTCTCTTTTTATGCTTAGATGCATTTCTTTTTTCCGTTTTCCCCTCCGGAGTCGACGTTTGTGGTTCTGAAGTCCATACATGCCTGGATTTTCCATGAACTTCTCCCTTAATTGCGAGCCAGGTGTTGTGTTACGCAGAAGTTGCTCCAGCCTTTCGTTTTGTGTCAGATTCGCCAACTGGAGAGGTTTTGGATGAGAAGAAATTCATGTTTGAACTGATGTTGCTATCTTCAGAGACTAGCAACGATTTATGTGGTACTTGGCTAAAATAAAGCAAATAGCAGGAGTTTTCTGGTTCTAGTTGAGAGGAACGCTAGTGCTTTCTAGTTAAGGGACTTGGAGATGGAGTGAGTGTGGAGAATTTTAATGATTGAACCGAGGTTGCTATCTTCTTAGGAAAGCAACGATTTATCTGAAACCTGGCGAAGTTCATGCAAATAGCGAAGTTTTCTGGTTCTAGTTGAGAGGAACGCTAGTGGTTTCTAGTTAAGCGACTTGGAGATGGAGTGAGTGTAGAGAATTTTAATGTTTGAACCAAGGTTGCTATCTTCTTAGGAAAGAAGCGATTTATCTGAGACTGCGAACTTGTATGTGGCTAAGTTCATGAAAATAGCAAAGTTTTCTGGTTTGCTTGAGTAGCATGCGAACTTGTATCTTATGCAGTGCATGTTTGATAACTTTTTCATTGTGTTGTAAATGCTTCTTTCAGCTGAATGCTGTAGTCTGAGTTTTCTTCTGAGCTGGTTCATCTTCTTAAAACATATTTTACTTCACATTTCTTACATTCAGGAAAACGTCAAGACGAAACATCCTCAGTTGCTGTACGAGTCTAAGTTATACAGAATTCTTCAGGGAGGAAGTAATGAATCGTCCTTCTTCTCTTTATTATAATTGTTATTAATTTTTACTTTTTGTGCATTCATAACTCTTTTTTGTTAATTATATGTTCACTTTTCTTCTTTGGAATCTGTTGAACACAGCTGGCATACCTAATGTAAGATGGTTTGGAGTCGAAGGAGACTACAATGTTCTTGTAATGGATTTGCTTGGTCCCAGTCTTGAAGATCTATTTAACTTCTGCAGCAGAAAGCTTTCTTTGAAAACAGTTCTTATGCTTGCAGATCAAATGGTAGATTAATTTAGTAAATTGACATCTTATCGGCCTTCTATTATAATTTAAATTCTAAACTTGATGTGGTTGTTTTCTCAGATTAACCGTGTTGAGTTTGTCCATTCTAAATCCTTTCTACATCGAGATATCAAGCCAGACAATTTTCTGATGGGGCTGGGAAGGCGTGCAAATCAGGTATTTATTCCAGATTTACTGGAATATATTATTTAACTTCATAAAATCTTAATCAATCTTAATTTTTTTTAATAAGTACAGAGTTCGTGCATAATATATAATTTCCTTTTTTATATAATAATATGCAGGTTTACATCATTGACTTTGGTCTTGCTAAGAAGTACAGAGATAGTTCTACCCATCAACACATTCCCTACAGGTGATTAGAGTTCGTAGATGTTGCCTTTACTGTCTCCCATGATTTCTTCTTTTTTGCCCTTATTGCTAGTCTTTTGATAATTATTTCTGGTTGCTGTAGAGAAAACAAGAACTTGACTGGGACTGCAAGATATGCTAGCATGAACACCCACCTTGGGATAGGTACTTCTTTTACCCTTCTTTAAGACAATAATATTTGTTCTCTGTTCTTGCTATTGCCTTGTGATGCTATCCTTTGAGTTCTTGATTGTGTAACATTTGATCGTCAAGTTGCATGTTGAATTTTTTAACATATCAATAATTGTATGTTGCATCGGCTTGGTTGTGAATCTGTGGTCACCTAGATGAATGGACACTAACATTAAACAGAGATTGTGTAATGTATCATCTTCTTAAGAATTAGGACACAAACATAGCATGGACACATTTGATAAAATATATATTTGTAATGATTGGCAAAAATTTTTTTTTGACATTTTTAAAAATTATATCTGTGTTTACAACTCATTCCAGAGTTTTCAAACACAGTGAATCATATAGGGTGTAGATTTTGATATGAAGCTTTTTTGTGGAAATAAGAAACTAAGCCTTCAATTGATATTTGAGAAATTACAACAGAAAGATAGTGAGACTCCTTTTACAGTGTTACAAGAAAGCACCCCAAAAGAATGTACATCAAGAAGTCATATCATATGATGATTGATAAGTTCTAGTCCATCCACTCAATTAACTTGTTTGCCTTTAAAGAATGCACCGATTCCACTCCATTAAGAAAAATGACCCAAACTACTTTTAACAGTATCAATCCACAATACGCTAGCTCTCCTAGTGTTCTTGTCCATCCACTTAATCGTTAAGTGTTCTTTTGAAAACATCCTCCGAGTTTCTCCACCTAATCCTCATTTTGCTTTTCATAATCCTGCCAACTTTCTTTGAAATGGATAGAAACCATATGCGCGAGGCCATATAAATTTGGCATATGATGGACACCTACATTTTTTTTTTTTTTTTAATCTTTTGCTTTAAATAATGTCCGTGATTTCTAGATGCGCTTGTTTGAAATTAAGGCTCTCCTTAACCTCTATTTCACCTATGGGGATTGTTTTATCGTTTTTCTCTTCATATTATTTAACTAATTAATGCTTGTTATCACCTTTTTTATTAATCCAGTTTTCTTTTTACTGACAATCTGGTTTGCAGAGCAAAGTCGAAGGGATGACTTGGAGTCTCTTGGTTATGTCCTTATGTACTTTTTGAGAGGAAGGTGATTAGTTTTCACCACATTGTTTTTTGCTATCGACTACAGCTTTCTACTGCTAGTTGATTTAGTAATTCTTTCTTTGTTCTTGTAGTCTTCCCTGGCAGGGACTGAAAGCAGGAACTAAGAAACAGAAGTATGAGAAAATTAGTGAGAAGAAAGTTTCTACCTCTATTGAGGCAAGTTGTTTTTAAATTACATTTTTGGAGCCATTCCTTAACACTACTTTTGTTTCTAAAAGAATTTAATTCTTTTCTAGGCATTGTGCCGTGGTTATCCATCAGAATTTGCATCATATTTCCATTACTGTCGATCACTTCGGTTCGATGATAAGCCAGATTATGCTTATCTCAAAAGAATATTTCGCGATCTCTTTATTCGTGAAGGTTTGTTTCCTATTCATTTCTTTTTTAAATTTATTTATAGGTTATACCTGTACTTTCTTTATTTCTTGTTGGTAGTGGTATATTGATGTCTGTTCGTTGTTATTGGTATTTTGCTACAGGTTTCCAGTTTGATTACGTGTTTGACTGGACCATTTTAAAGTATCAGCAATCACAGCTAGCCACGCCTCCAACTCGTACCCTAGTTAGTTATTTGCAACTTGCTTTTGTTGTGCAATTGTGAATTTTCTTTCAAGCAGTGCTGAATGTGTCTTCTTTTTCTTTAGGGTGCCGGTGCTGGAACCAGCTCTGGAATCCCTCCTGGTATAGCAAATCCTGATAGACAGACAGGTGCTCATCAGTTTGGTTAATTTTTCCTTTCGTTTTTCAGCCTTTTTGGTTGGCTGATAACCACTTGTTTTTAAATCTCTTCTCAAGTGTTAGTTCCCTCTATATTTGACTTAGGTGGAGAGGAGGCACAACTAGCTGGGATGTCGTCTTTGATGGATTCATCTAGGCGGAGAGTATCCGGGCTGGCCATGAATGCTGGGACTTCTGCCAAACAGAAGAGTCCAATTGCCAACGATTCTGCAGTTGCCAAAGACTCTGTGGTACGTATAACAACTAATCATATATTCTACTTTAATTGAATAAAATTGTGAATCAATATAATTAATAATAGATGGGAGTCGTGTTGCAATTGCAGTT